GGTCCGACATTCCCCCGGTCCCGGTGTTCGGCCCAAGGAATGTCGAAATAATTGTTCGTTATCCAACAATGACGGTCCATATTACTTTTCGGAAAACGGTTTTTCTATGCCGCTGTCATTTTCTTTCTCTCTCTCTCGCGATTTTTCTACTCAGCCCAGTGGTCCAGCCACTCTGCTGTTCAATCACCTTGCCTTTCGTCTCACGTCTGTCGCCGATCATCTCGTCCAAGCGGCATTGTCATACCGTCAAACAGTCCGATTTCTGTGTGATGCAACCGTATAACAGTGCTTCAAGCAGCCCCGTGTGGTGTTTGGTTTGCCTCTGACCGTGGACGTCTTAAACTCAATTTCAGGATAACTTGTTTCTGCTGGAGCACTTACAGAAGAAAGAATGGAGGGGACGTGTCGGTAATTTTGTAGGTTAGGAATGGAGCTCTTAGGACCCAAAAGGGCAGCCAACCTCTGAACTCAAATCATAAAGAATGATGATTAATAATTACAATTATTACAATCCGTCGTATTTGACTTAAATTTGCTTGATTTTGATATCGAAATCTGAATATAGACAGCGGCATTTTCCTAGCGTTTTTCTTGGAGTAGGGTTGGCAGCCCTTTTGGCTCCATAAGAGCTCCATGTTTTTTTGACATGTCTATATTCTCCCCATTAGGCACTCTAGTTTTTGCGTAGGTGATTTTTTTTCGGAATTATCTGAACCGGGCCCATACCCCCTTGAGAGCTCTGTCGACTTACTTGGATTTCTTATCGAATTTCAAGTGCTTGAGTAGCCGCGCATTTTGAAATTCGATAATGTCATCAAATGACGTACCTCGCTTTTGGTTTTGAAAAATTGAAAACTAAACACAAAAGTTTGGTTAGTGCGGGAAGTAAAAACACAATACTCTAACCTTTGGTTGACTGCGGGGTTTCACAGTCTCCCATTCTTTTCTGCACTAAACTCACCACCAACTGTACCAAAATCAACACGAAATCTGGGATGGTTTGTGTTTCACTTCCTATACTAACCTAAAGTAACGCAAGTACACAAATATTTTTATCGGTGCACGTCTTTGAAGTTCGAGCGTGCGTGGTCAGACAATTCGCCTTCAATTCGTAGGCTAGGCAAACAGCATTGCCATAATGTTCGAATAGTTGTATCTATTCAGTTGTACGCGATTATAGTCTCGTGATGACAAGTACTGACAAGCCACCACTGAGCGATTTTTTCGGAACTTCTAAAGTCCCAAAATGTTCCGGATCTTCTGCATTTTCCGGAGCTTTCTCGGACTTCCGAAAAAATCTATTAAGACTCCCGGAACTTTTGACGGTTATGGTGTGGGAGAAGTTGGAGCAAACAAGTTCCGAATCCCGGAACTTTAGACGGACATGGAATGGTAGCACTGCAAATGTGTCTGCTTTAAAAAGCGGACTCTCCCGGCTGACCACGTTTTTACCAAGGTCCGTTGGTACCTTTACCATCACACTTTTTTACCACTTATTGGTATTTTTACCAAGACAGACTGGTTAGCTTATCTAAAAACCGGTATTTTTATTGTTTTTTTTCAGGTAAGAATACCACTTTTATCAGTAATCAATTCCCGGTAACTTTGCCATTTTATCTCGGTAATTCTACCACAGTCGATAAAAAATGTTGGCGTTTTTACCAAGGTCCAGTGAAATTACCGAGAAAGTTCAATAATTTTACCGAGATTTCTCGGTAAAATTACCAATTCCATAAATGGTAATTCTACCCAAAAAAAACTGGGAACAAATAGAACCTTGATAATTTTACCCCTTTCTTAGTAAATACACCGAGATTTTTTTTTTCAGTGAGGTTCCTGAATTAATATCAGTGGGATAATGGACGTTTTATTTTTTGTGCGTTGCAGATTCGTTCGTGAACAGTCAGGAATGGACCCTGTCCCGCGGTGTGCCGGATCTGCGTTTAGGGATCGTCGGATCTTTGGCGTCCGGGAAGTCGGCGTTGGTTCATAGGTACCTGACCGGCTCCTATCTCCAGGAGGAATCGCCAGAGGGCGGCAGGTTCAAGAAGGAGATCCTCGTCGACGGACAGAGTCACCTCCTCCTCATCAGGGATGAAGGCGGACCCCCAGAATTACAGGTGAGTTTTAATATTTCTCCTGCATCCGTCCTTGCTCCTTGGAGCCGTTCATACTGCCGTGCTAAGGAAGAACGCCGTATGAGCCTTCCCACGTTGCCAAGTTCCCTCCGATAATAATCGAATTTACTGGGAAAATTGTGGATATTATTTCTCAAAATTTTCAGACAATTTTGTACGCCATGTAATGTAAAATATTTGAAAATTTCAAGGAAAAAGACGCATAACTTTTCTCCAAAAAGCATGTTTTATTCGGGGAAATTTGGCAACTCCCGAATATTTTTACGGCGTTCTTCCTTAGCATGGCAGCATAAAACACATAACGCTCCATCGAGTCGAAAAGAGCGTTACGCCATATGAGGGGTTTGGAGAACCAAGCGCATAAATGTAGCTTTTGACAAATTAAGATATTAATGATTTCAATTAAAACTAGTCTTACCGCATATTCGGTGAGAAATTCGCTCCCGAATTCCAATTTTTAAGCATCAAAAAGTCATTTTGAAATTTCTATTCACCATAAGGATCCATGTAATTTCGAAACTTCAAACANACTCAACAGTTCGTTAGACGGGATCAAGACGCATCTTTAGACACCAAAATTTCTAAAATCCGTCGCTCCGTTGCTTTGAAAAGCTTTTGAGACCGCAACTAAAAACCCAAATAAGCCAAGTTCGTGTAACTATGGTGTCGTTGCCTCGACCGGGCTGTGCTGTGTTGCCAATTGTTGGAAGATAGGTTACTTGCCCGGTGGTGGCTACCGCCACTCATGACTTCAAACACGAATTTCAGGAAATGGCAAAATCTGAGCCTATGCGCCTCGTCCTCCAAACCCCTTATATTGTTTTTATCACGCGTTAATCCCCTAAAATTGTGGCACTACCCCAATTTTTGGATGACACGGATATTTTAAAGTAATTTTAGCAGTGCTGCGTCTCAAGTTGGAGTCGGAACATTTGGGTTAGCAACCTAATTTATTGGGTACTACCACAATTAATTGGAAATTTCAAAGTTGGGATCTAACTCTTACCTCTATTTTTCGTGTAAGTTAATCC